TGCTGGGTCACATGGACACTGAGGAGGGGGAGGTGCTGGGTCACATGGACACTGAGGAGGTGGAGGTGCTGGTCCCACAGGGACACTGAGGAGGGGCCAGCCAGGCCATCTGACCATCCTCATGACAGGATCCCCCAACCCTGGTTTAGGTGGGGGCCTGTCCTTCCTCAGACTCCCTCTCTGCATCTGCCTAGCACTTCTGTTGGCCAGAGGCTCATGGTGGGCCTCCCAGCAGCACAGCCCTGACACAGAACTCTCGGGTCCTGCACAAGACTCGCACTCAACTTACACAGCCAAGCCTATACTGAACACACCAGAAAGGCTGGTGGCTCTGCTTGGTGAGGTCTGGAGGCAGGATCCCGCCCCTCACCTGCTCCCCTCCTCACAGGTGGGGGAGGCAGATGATGCCTACCTGGCTGTAGCAGGCCACACAGTGGGATGTGCAGAATCACCCCTGCCCTAATCTTCCAGAGGGCCTGACCCCAGAGACAGAGCTTCTCAGCAGACATGGAGGAAATGACATCCTGCTTGTCATCACTGTAATGAGGGTCTCTCCAGACACAAATCAGCTGGAACCACAGGATTCAGTATGATGAAGCTGGGATTTCATTCATACAGTGTGTTTCTAAAAATTTTGCACCATTCTAGAGAGGGTGGATCCCCCTATCCACCAACACCTAGTGAGCTGTGAAAAGTAACATAATCAAATAAACAACAAGCCAAAGAAGAGCCCACAAGGAAAACGAGCAAATACTTTTGAGATAAATGGAAAAAAATTCCACAACATACCTCAGGGGTGTGGCAAAAGTAACGCTCAGAGGAAAATTTATAGCTGTAAATGTCTACATCAAAAAGAAAAAGATCTCAAATAAATAATCTAATTTTATACCATGAGGACAATGAATAAAGAAGGGCAAACTAAACCCTAAAGCTAGCAGAAGAAAGGAGATGGTGAAGACTAGAGCAGAGACACAAAAAAAACAGAGAATGGAAAAATAGAGAAAACCGATGAAACCAAAATCGGTTCTTTAACAAGATCAACAATTAGCTGGACGTGGTGGCACCTGTAGTCCCAGTCACTGGGAGGCTGAGGCTGGAGGATTGCAGGAGCCCAGGAGTTTGAGGTTGCAGTGAGCTATGATGATGCCACTGCATTCCAGCCTGAGTGACGGAGTGAGACTCTCTCTCCAAAAATAAATAAGTAAAATCATCAAAATTGGTAAACCTTTCACTAGATTAAGAAAAAAAGCAAGAAGACTAACATTGCATTGGATGCTCCTGCTGGAATAATTAGGCAAGAAAAAGTAATAAAAGCCACCCAGATTGGAATGGAAGAAGCATTAATTAAACCACCTCTGTGCACAGACAGCACGATCACCATACATGTGGGAAATCCTAAAGAATTAACAACACCTGATCAGCGCTAATAGCAGGCACTTACAAAGTCGCAGGACACAAGATCAACATCCCCAAATCAGTTGTATTTCTATACACAACCAACGAACAATCCAAAAAGAAAATTCAGAAAATAATTCCATTTATAATAAAAAGAGTAAAATACTTGGGGAGAAACATTCATCCAATGAGGTACAAGACTTGTGTGCTGGAAATGACAAAGCGTCACTGAAAGAGATCAAAGACCTAAACAAACACCAAGGTGTGCCGAGCTTGAGGAATGGATGCTTCAACCAGCTGACCCGGCAACACCTCCTGGTGTGGTCTCCAGCTGCAGTGCCATCCCACTGGAGGTCAGAGCAAGTGTGGCCCATGATAAATGCTGTCTGTGGCTAATGAGGGTCACTCTGAGCCCTGAGCAGTGTACCTTTGAGACACACGACCTGCCACATTGTCTAAGGCATTTTGGCCTTCTCTGACCTTTCCCTAAGACTGTGCTCAGCATCCTGTGTGGTCTGTTCCCCTGCTCACCTGTGCCCTCCCCTGCATAGGACCCAGTTGGGGTGTCTGTAGTGGCCCCACCATGGGGGAAGTCCATGCTGTGCAGCATAGCCTCAGAGTGACCCCGTTGGGGACTGAGAGGAAAGACTGCCTGTCAGCCCCGCCTCCCTGGAAGGTGCGGCCCCTGCACATTCACCTTCCACCCCACCCAGGCCAGGCCAGAGAAAGCACCAGGCCCTCTACAAAGTGCAAAGCTAGCACCCTCACCCCCGAGTCTGCATCTGCCACCAGGAGGACACAGTAAGGCCACAATCAGCCACCATGGCGGGCCACGAGGTGGGAGGAAGTGTGGCTGGGGAGAGTGGAGTAACCAGGTCAGCCAGTCTCTAAGGAACTCTGCAGTGTCACAGCCCCCTACAGATGCCCCCAGAATGTCCAGGCCTTTCTATACTGGTAAGGCGCCCAGATAGGGGAGGGGCCCACATGGGGGATGGTGGCAGGGTCTCCAGGCAGCCCTGACAGGAACCTCGAGATTCCTTAGAGCACTGCGGCAAACATGTAAGCCCTAGGTGGATCGCCACCCAGCACTGCTGAGCCAGGCCCTGTCTACAGCACCTGGCCTGGCTCTGTAGCAGAGAGGAGCACCCAATGCTCTGTGGCCCTGTCCCACTTTCACAGAGGAGGAAACACATTCTGAGAGTGATTTTTAAACACAGGGAACCTCAATTGTCTCCAGCAGAGGCGAGGTAATGGAGCTGGTACCCAGCTGCTTGGCCATGGGTACAGCTCACCAGGGCCTGGAAATCAGTGTTAGAAATAGTCTGGGTGGAAACTGGCCATATTTACGTGACATAGGACATACTTCTTTCTGCTTTAGAATGAGTTTTTCTGCTGCTTTCAACCCATGGAGGTGCTGCCAGGCTGGGGCCTTCATGTGGCCACACCTGGCACTGGCAGCAATGCCCCCTGCAGGCACCACCTGGGCAAAATGCACAGGTGTCTGGGGTGGGCGTTCAAGGAGTCCCAGGGAGCACCAGGAGGACAGGGCAGGTTGGCGCCCATGCTCGACTCCTCGTGGGCCACACTCTTGAGTGTGGTTTTTGCCAACTCTAGGATTTGCAATGAAGCTGTGACTCAGCCAAGCAAACGGCACAGCCCTGAGGACGCCCCACGGAAGCTGCTGCCCTGGCACATGGTGAGCAAGAGCTTCTGTCTCAGGGGTTCCCAGCCCCAAAACGGTGGGAGGGGAGCCTCTTCACTTGCAGATGGCAATGTGTCCTCGCCCTCCGGCTGGCCCTGTACCCCTAGGCATGTCCCTGGTCCTTGCTGAGTTTCCCATGAGTCCTGGCCTGAGGAAGGCCAAGGGACCACTAGCTGGGCAGGCCTGCCAGCCCCATAGCAAGGGGCCCAGGCCAGGGTCACCTTGAAATTGGTGTTTGAGTGAGCCATCGTTTTCTACCAGCTAAGAAACAGGTGTCCAATGTCACTGAGGCTACCATGGACACTAGGGGCCAGATGGCCACCAAGGCCAGTTGGGCAAGTCTCCATGCACAGCCCCCATCAAGGATCTCAGGATAACTCAGCAGCACAGGGGTGTCACACATGAGGCACACAGGTGGTGTCCCAGACCCGATGGCCCAGCTATAGATGCTGGCCCCCCATCTTGTCCCTAGGTCACCTCTTGCCCTCCCATCCTGTCCCCAATTCACCATCCAGATCTACCCTGTCACAGGCTCACCTCCCTGCCCCTAAGCCCCTAGGTATACTGGCTCCTATCACCCCTGTTGAGGAGTTTGTCCAGACCCAGCAAATGTACCTGGTGTCACCCCGGTTCCCCATGGGTGGCCATGTGTGTGAGGAGACTCAGTACCTGAGCAGCCGCTGCCTAGGGAGCCGAGGCTGGTCTCCGTTCGTGCATGGCGGGGCCTTCTTTGTCACCTGCTGGTAGATGTTCCTGGCAGTCACTCCAATCCACAGCATGGTGGCAAGCGTGGAGTAGTGCAGTGCAATGCCCACCTGGAAGAAGGAGCGGTCAGCCGGCCCCCAGCCCCAGCCCTGCCTCCCTGATGCTCAAGCTGTGGAGCCTGGAGCTCCCTGGGCACCTTCAGGAGGCAGCTGTCTAGTGACAAGAATGGCAGCAGCAGAAGGGCTAGCAGGCTAGCTCAGGGCAGCTGGGGACAACACAGGGGCTCCAGCATTCACTGGGGACACGTGGGCTGCAAAGACCCTTGAACTGAGATGGGGGCAGCGAGCACATGGGAGCCTGTGGCAGCTGGAGGGCTGTGTGCATGTCCTTGAGAGAGTCTGCGCCAGCCTGTGGGGGCCTGTATGCACACAGCTTCCTGTGGTCACTGGGGGCTCAGGCCCAGGGCCCTGTGGGTTGGAGGCTTGGGCTTCTAAGCTCTACACAGGAGTCCAAGTTGAGGGGTGTCCTCAGCAGGGGTCTCCCCAGCCTGCTGGGGCTCCCGACCTTGTATGTCAGGAGGGGACAGGGACAGCATCCCACACTCTACCTGTCTCCCTCTGAGTGTATAAAACGAGGCTGTCTTGGAGTAATAACCTGACATTTTGAAATGACAAGTAAAACATTGCTATAATTGGAAAGGATGTAAATGTTTAAGGAACACAGAGACTCTGAATAAGGCTAACATTGTGCCATTATAATGATGCGTTAAACCTGCAGCTCCAGTTTTACTTATGAGGAAACACTATGATAATGGATGAGGCTTTGGGGAGTGGAAAGGTGGGGGCTTTGTTCATGGCTCCAGGGGAGCTCCCTGCACGTGGTGGTGGCCAGAGAGAGCCAGCCTTTCTCTGGGCCTGGCCCTATGTGTGAGGGCCCATGTGTGGCCAAAGCAGGGCCCAGGAAGAGGGCAGCAGCATGGCTGTAGGTGTCCTGTACAACCAGAAGTGGTCAGAGACAATGGCCCTCAGGCCTCAGGGAGCTGCCTGGGTAGTGAGGAGGGCCGGGGCCTTGCTGTGTACAGTGGTTATGGGAGATGTAAATAGAACGGTGTCTCCCAAATGTGGTCCTCAGGCTGGACACAGAGATGTTGTGGAGACGCTGCCCTGGTGTCCAGACAGGGTTCTGCTGCCCACCCCAGACCCTGGGTGTCCAGGGCCAGTGCCAAGGCTCAGCTACATGGGGCCAAGGGCGGCCATCTGTCTTTGCTCATGAAGCCGCTTAAATACTTTAATGAGGTCCATGGTCATCTGTTGCCATGACAACCATCTGTTCTCCCCAGGGCTTTGGGCGCTGTGCCCCTTGCCCCACCCCGTGGGGTGCTGGGCTAGCTCAGTGGGAAGGGGTCTGGGGTTGGCAGTCAGGAACCCTTTGCTGGGTGTGGCCTGCCTTCCTGCAGCTGTGTTTAACCTCACCTCCGGCAGGGTGGTGAGGGCAGCCATAGGGCCAAGAGTATCCTTGAGGCCCACATGAGGAGCCTGCCCAGCCCCTGCTTTTCAGAAGCTTCAGAATCAGTGATAGGAACTCTGGTCATACCCTCAAAGTGCAGGGTAAAGGAGCACATGGGCCCTGAGCCCAGCTTCCTCCTCTTAGGCCTCTCTAGCTGTGATGGCCCCATGGCACTGTGTGCGTGTTTGCTGTGCACACCCCCTAGGGCACATAGGCTCCATGTGGCTGTGCCCAGCACCCCGTAGGCCCCAGGTGAATGAACACCAACTTCTGGAGGGTGACTGTGAGGCCAGGATAGAGCGTGGGAGAGGCTATTGTCTTTCTGATTCCAGAATACAAAGCAGCTTCCCCTGGGACACCATCCCAGGGAGGGGCACACAGCTCACCCACACCATGTCCTCAAGATTTCACCTCTCCAGAGTCCAGACCTGCCCCCGCCCATCATACATGTCGAGTGTCCCCCTGGGCTGTCACCTGTGGGGTTCTCTGGGAGCCTGGTCAGGGCCTGGGATAGTCTGAGGTTTTCTAAGGCTCCAGTGGGGCTCACATGAGGCTGGTGGCTTTGCTGCAATGTGTGGGGAGCCTGGATGGCCAAGCACAGACACAGACATGACCCATCTCAGGGCTGCCCAGAGGCCCCTGCAGGGAGGACAGAAACTGGACCCCCAGCTGCTTTCTGTGGCTGTTTCCATAAAGCAATTGCGTCTACCATGGCCCTATTCAGGCATGTGCTAGAGACATCTCTGCTGGGCCACATGGGCTAGGCTCAGGCAGTGGCCATGGCTTTCTGGTGGCTGGTCCAGATGCACAGTTACGTAGATGGGCTATCTCCTCCATGTACAGGCTGGGGTAACAGGACTGTCCTGTGTGTGTGGGCACTCTGTGGCCTCAATTGTAATTGTGCCAGTGCTAGGGGGAAAGGTGCTGGGTGGACCAGCACTCTCAGCCTGGCTTCCTGAGGATAGCCCTTTGTCTACCCCAGGGCAGGTTTGCCTCTACTGTCAGTGCAGGTAGATAGGTCACCAGGGTGGGCAGATAGCTGCCCAACATCAGTGCCAGGTACGGGAGGTACCTGGTGGAGTTGTGCACACAGCCATCCTCACTGCTTGCTGAGTTATGGGGCCAGTGGGGAGCCAAATTGCCTGGGCACAGCAGGCTGAGTGCGGTCCCATAGGCCTGGCACACTTAGGGAAGGATGGAACCACAGGGCTGGGTGAGACACCTTGCAGCGTATGGGGGAGCACTCCCACCCACTGAGCCTGGGGCCTGGGGCTGACTGTTGGGGCTGGCACCCCTGGGTAGGGCTAGGCATAGAGCAGCTCCAGGTAGGGCTGGCCACAGACAGATGCCACCCTGGAGGAGCTGCAGCCCAGAGGGCAGGACCAGGCTCAGCTGTGGGGCCAGGCCAGGCCCCAGATATGGGGAAGGCCCCTCTCCTGCCTTTCTGGTTCTTTTCTGTCCCAGATGCCCTGAGGCTCCACCTTTGGCTGAGGAGCGGGACATCTAGGAAACTCTCTGCAGGGCCCACACGGGGCACATGGCCACAGCCTGGACACCCCAGTAACCTACCTGACCAAGCTTCCCCTCCCATTCACAGGAGGTGCAGCCTCTGCAGGTCCTGCTAGGGCTGGGAGCAAGTGCCCTGCCCATGCTCCTCCCCACCAGGCTCTCTGTAGAGCCAGGTGGTGTCCCTGTCCCCAGGAAGAGCCCCGGTTTGGGGCATTACACACCTAGTTGCCGTGTCACCAGAGCCCTTATAGTAAAGCGGTCTGGAGAAAAACATACTGTTTTATATGATAAAACATTCAGCAAAACAGCCGGGTGGGTTCAGGCAGCGAGAAGCTCAAGTGCGGGCAGATGGAGTCACACAAGACGGGCACCACCACACGCCCTTGGGGGAGATGACAGCACACTTGCTCCCGTGGCCCATGAAGGTGCAGAGGACTCACCGCCTGGCATAGGATGGGGTACTGGGTGCGGTTGATGCCGCCTGCAAACACCGTGAAGGTCAGAGCCGCATGGAAGCAAAAATTCAGCAGCATGTGGCGGCCTTTCCGGCTGATCCGGATGGCACTGTGGAGAGAAGGGTCCCCTGTTAGGAACTGAGCCTTCATCCTATCTAGCCCTGTCCTCAGGGTGGCCAGCCCTCTACAGGGCAGCAGTGACTGTCCACAGGACCAGGTCAGGCAGCAGAGATGGGCTGTGCCAGGGACAGTCCTGAGTGATATCACTTAGGGATGCTGCACTGGAAAGGGGTCTGCAGGGACCATCTGGGGCCCTGAGACCCCATGACTGTGCAGAGTCTCAGATGCAAGTAGCTCCCCAGGGCCCAGGACAGACTTCCCCCAGTTGTCTGTTACCTAGGGAAGAGGCTGGGCTTGGACAAATATCCCTGGATTGCGTGACTACGGCCTTGAACATGCTCAAGCCTCTTTCTGTGATTACAGGTACTGTGGTCTGAGGGTTTGTTTTCCTTACCAAGTCACATGTGCAGACTCAGTTGGGATCAATGCTTTTATAAAAGAGGCCCCAGAATGCTATATTACCCATGCCGCCCTGTGAGGACATGGTAAGAAGGTGCTGTCTGTGAACTAAGCAGCAGCCTCCCCAGACATCAAACCGGCTGGTGCCTTCACCTGGGATGTCCAGTCTGTAGAACCTCGAGGAATCAACTTCTATTGTTTACAAGCCACGGAGTCTATCTAATTTTGGGTGTGCCCAAGTCTTTACCTGTGAGCCTTGGCTTCCTGTTGGGACCACAGCTACAGATACTCCCAAGCCTCTGCCAGTGACCATGGCCTTGTGACTGCCCATGACTTTGACTATGCTTGACCCTGTTGTGTGGGACCATCACATTTCCTAGCATCTCCACATGTTCTACAGGCCATTCCACCTCCCCCAGGATGTGGGGGTCCCAGGGCACCCCGCAGACCTGAGCTGTTTCAGGAGGAGCCTACTTCACCCTGTCAAGCACACAGGAGCTGCCTTGGGAAGACCCGCTGGAGGCTGGGAGTGGTGGGTGTGGCTGCCTGAGCACCTCTGCCCCTGGAGGGAGTGAGGTCTCACTTTGGGGGAATTGTTTGAAGGGAAAGGAGGATACCATGGGGTGTGGGACCCCAGCCAGGCTCACCTCTGGTGCACAATGTATGTGACAGCGGAGGCGAGGAGGCAGAGCAGCATGACGGCGGTGCACGCATATACCACGGGGTGCAGGAACTCCCCTGGGTACTGCGGCAGGGACAGCACGGTCTTCAGATCCTAGGGAGGAGACAGGACACTAGGTGACCCACAGGCTTGTGCAGTGGCCGAGGCTTCTGCTTCCCTACTTGGGTCTAGCCTTCCCTGTGAGCCACTTGTCTGGGCTGGTGGCTGTGAAAGGCCCTGCTCATGGTGTGGGCACTGGACATGGTCTGTCTGCACCTGGCCAGTGTGCCCAGCCCAGGTGACTCTACATGCCCTAAAGGCAAGCTGGGGGGGTGGTGGCACTTCTGCTCTTCATCCCACATGGCTAGTGGGGGGAAGGGGCCAGTGCCAGCTTCCACCTGATGGCACCTCATCTGCCTGGTGGGATCGGGGTGTGCCTTTCAGAGAGGTGGGGGAGGCACAGATTACCCACCCCACTGCTGAACGTCACACCTAGGGAAATCCTGCTTGTAACCCTCCTAGAATTTTGTGTCCAGTTTCTGTAAGTCCATGTAGCATTAGCTTGAGTCCACAGAGAAAGAGCTGTGGCTGTTAGGCACTGTGGATGCAGCTGGGGCCCCATGTCCCTTCTGGACATTGCAGGCTACACTGTGCGTTGTACATAGTTTGAGTAAGGGCTTGAGGCCAGAGTGCAAGGAAACCAGGGTCCTCTGGGGTGAGCTGGGAGCGTGCCCAGCTGGACATGTTTGGGCCAGACAGGGTCTCATGTCCCATCTGTCACACGGGAGAGGAGAGGTGCACTGTGTCTAGCATAGGACACACGGGGTGGCAGGTGTGTGCGCAGTATCTGCATGGGGACACATCAGAACATGCGACCAGCTTTTTGCACTGCTCAGGGAGGGTCTACATGGCATTGTTCTGGATTCCCACCATAAATTAAAGGGAAACTTCCACAATGTCTGGAGTCCTTGATGTCCTGTAAATGAAGGATTCCTCAAATTCCTTGCAGCAGGAACCACCCACTTAGGTGCACCAAACTTGACTTCCAAATGGAATAGTACATCTACAAAAGGAAAAGTGATGGCATCTACATCATAAATCTGAAGAGGACCTGAGAGAAGCTTCTGGTGGCAGCTCGGGACATTGTTGCCATTGAAAACCCTGCAGATGTCAGCATCATATCCTCCAGGAATACTGGCCAGTGAGTGTGCTCAAGTTTGCTGCTGCCCCAGGAGCCACTCCTATTGCTGGCCACTTCACTCCTGGAACCTTCACTAACCAGATCCAGGCAGCCTTCTGCGAGCCTCATCTTCTAGTGGTTACTCACCCCAGGACTGATCACCAGCCTCTCACAGAGGTGTCGTATGTTACCTGCCTCCCATTGCTCTGTGTAACTCAGATTCTCCTCTGTGTTATGTGGACATTGCCATCCCAGGCAACAACAAGGGAGCTCACTCAGTAGGTCTGATGTGGGCGATGTTGGCCCGGGAAGTTCTCTGTATCTGTGGCACCATCTCCCCTGAACACTAGTGGGAAGTTATGCCTCATTTCTAGTTCTACAGAGATCCTGAAGAGACTGAAAAGGAAGAGCAGGCTGCCACAGAGAGAGCTGTGACCAAGGAGGAATTTCAGGGTAAATGGACTGCTCCAGCTCCTGCGTGTACTGCTACTCAGCTCAAGGTGGCAGACTGGTCAGAAGGCTGCAGGTGCCCTCTTGTGCCTAGGCAGCAGTTCCCACTGGAGACTGGAGTGCCCAGAGACTGATGTGCTGCTCCCACTGCTCAGGCCAGTGAATGGGTTGGAACAGCCACTGAATAAGTGGGAATAACCACTGAGTGGTCTTAGCTGTCCTTGCACTAACTTTTAAACAAGATGGACATAAGGTTGGTAGAAAATAAACATCAGGTTTTTCTAAAAGAAAGAAAAGAGCATGCAGGGATCTGTGGACCAGGCAAGGCCTTAGTACAAACACCTGCCACCTTGGTGGGCCAGCCCTTCCAGGCCCCTGGGGCACTTTGCTGTGATGCCACAAACAGACTGATGCAGCTGGGTGGGTGCTGCCATCTTGTCAGGACCTCACAGGGGGGTGCTGTGGATCTGCTGTTTGGGCAGAGGGTGAAGTCACTCCCCAGCCCATCCTTTGCTCAGCCCCCAGGGAGAAGCCCTGGGCTGGGGGGTGGGCCAGTGTCCACTGCCCCCGACATCCCCTGTGAGACCACAAGAGTTTCTCTGGCAGTAGGTTGGGGCCTGCAGCCAAGCCAGCCGCTCCCTCAGCCTACAAAGCTGCCCACGGCTGGCACCTCCCTGGGCAGTCAGACAGTGGGAAGCCATCTGTTGGCTCCAGGCTGAATAACTCAGGAAATAGAAATCCTCCTCGTGTGAAGGACTGCTGGCGGGCAGCCTCTCCTGATGTCAGGGACACCAAGGCCTGTGGGCCCTCCACAAGGGACCTGGAGATCCTGCTTGCCTGCACTCAGCCAGGGCCCTGGGGAAGGGTCTGTGGTCCACACACTAGAGGGCTGGCCTAGCTCACCAGGGAAGCCTCCTGGCCAGGCACCCTGCCCACAGGGAAGCACAAATGTGGTGCCAGTGGCCAGAGTGGGCAGCAGCTGGGCTCTCTGTCCTGGGAACAGGAGCTGTCTGATGGGAGTGATGGCAGAGTTGGGAGGTCTTGGCAGAGCTCTCTGCATCCCCAGGGTGTATTCAGAGCCTGCCCCTTTCTTCCTGGACATGGAGCACCAGGCCGGAGATAGAAAGCTATGTCCAGCACTGGATCCATGGCACACTCTGAACAGACCCCTGAAGATTTGGGGGCAGATTTTGGGCTAGGAGACCCCCTATTTCCCTTTGGGCACTGCTGAACTGTGTGGGCCTCTGTCCAGATTCTATAGAGTGTCTGGTCCCAGACCCAGCTGGGGGGCTGCCGCCTATAGGGACAGCTCCCAGGGTCACCAGACTGTATCTCAACAGTTACTCCCGATCTCTGGTTCTGCCATCATTGTGTGAGCACCAAGGCTGGGTGGGCCCCATTCACACCAGCTTCCCGCCAAGTGCAAGTGACTCCGAAAGTCATGGGAAGTAGAGTTTTCCTGGTCACATTCTAACATGCTTTCTGCTGTTGAGAGGTGAAGAGTACATGTGAGGTTGTCAGAAGTTAAGGCTTGACTGGCACAAGTGATGTCTGGGAGCTTGTCCACATGGTTCTCTCCATGAGAGTCGGCGGCTTTTCCTTCCTGTGAAATCAGGGTCTGCGGAAACATCTGAGCACTTCTTACGTAATGCCTGCTATGGTCCTATTACTAGTTTGAAGTCCGGATATGCGGGAAAAGGCAAGTGTGTGGTCCATCCTCTGTGTCCAGGTCTCTCTGGGTGTCCTGGAACAAGAACTTGGTGGCCATTGTGTTGGAGGGCAGGTGGGCCTGCCCCTCTGGGGTGCTCACAAGCCCTCCACAGCCTCCCATGGGTGCTGCACCATGGCTGCCTTGGTGCTGGTTTCAGGCTCCTCTGCTGGCAACGGGGGTGGAGAGGTGGGCAGCCATGGTGGGTGGGAGGGCTTGGCTAGGGGGCCCAGAGCAGCAGCTACACCCTGTGGTCCTGTGCCCATGAGCTACACCCCACCTAGGGGTGCCTAGGGCCCATACAAAAGAGCTAATGTCTAAATACATCTTATCAGCAGGTTTTATTCACACACATAAAACCCCTTCATGTTAAGCCAAATAAGAAGTCAGAACTGTCTTTCAGGCACGAGGCAAACACCGCCGAGAACTGGTTCATGATGTACAGGTGTGTCCTGAGGATGCTGCCAGGGCCAGGGGTACCCAGCTGGGCCATGCCAATGTGGGGGTTACTGCTCATTGGATGGCCACATCTTGAGGCTCCATCCACAAGGACCTGGCCTCAAGGAGAGGAGTTTGACCCTCACATGGCCATGGGAGGCCTTCAGGCATGTGGGCCTGGGGCCTTCACTGTGTAGGAAGGGCTTCTGCAACGGGAGACAAAATTACCCGGGGGTCAGAACATGTTTGATAAAAAACAGAGATTCAATTTGGTTCGGTTTTCTTTTTTTCTTTCTCCAGATTAGAATTATCGACAGTGCCTTTCTACATTTTTAGAGGTGACATTTAAAATTCAAAGTAGGTAATGCAAAACAGAGATATATTTTATATTTTAAAGTTCACACATGTATGAATTCCTCTTGGAAGACTCTCCTTTGCCAATACTTGAAATCATGATGATGGTTCGATATGTGGCTGATGGACAAACAAGTTCCTCTGAGGCTATAAAGGCAGAGAGATGTCTTGGTAGGGCAGGGAAGGATCAAGGCAGCTCTGCCACTGGGCTGCTTCAAGAGCCAGGCAGAAGGAACCCAGGCGTCCAGCTCCCTGCAGGCCAGGCTCAGTGACACTAATAGATGGGCTGGCCCTGCGGCCTGGGGCTCCTGTGCATTTCTCCTTTCTTAGAGTCTTAATTTCTTCTTACATTCCATTATTATTTTAGCTGGATGCATCCTTTTCAGAGTGTTCTGTAAATCAAAAGGGTCAGGGTATAAAGAAAGACAAGGAGGAAGGAGGGAAGATGGGCAGAGAGAGTCCAGAGTCCTAGTCTGACCAAGACTCGAGCCTGCAGTGGGAAGGGGTGCGGATCCACCGGCTGGCACCCTCCTCTCTGGACCAGGCCCACAGGCTCCATTTGGCAAGGGAGGAAGCAGGTCTTTTCTCCCTTCTTGCTCTTGCTCCTGGTTCTGTGCTGGGAAGACTGATTTCATTAGAGCTTGCCTTTTTAATAAGAGTCGCATCAAGGGTCTGATCACCTCCAGGGCCACGTTCAGGAAGAGGCAGAAGAGAACACCTCTGTTCTTGGAGCATACCGACCACCCTTGTGGTATATGGGCTGGGGTGCAGTTTTCTTTTTTCAGAGGGACATGTAGGCTAGTAAAATTATGAAAATATTTGGAGAAAAACATGTTGAATAATATCATAGGGCCTTTCTTTCTAGACTGGTTCTTGCTTGTTTAAAGTTCTTAATTGCAGGGGGTATGTTAGGTGGGATGACAACTTGCCCCTCTGTAGGTTTGGCAGTTTTAGTAATTTAGATACAGGACTGAATAA